TTATAATAACAAATTATAGCACCCACAAGTACAATAGGTACGAGTCTAGTCAAGTGCAATGACAGAGAAGATTGATGATTTACACAAATGCAGAAGAGGGTATACAGATGGTATAAGAAGATTGTACCTATACTCTGACTCTGCCATGCCAATTGATGAGTATAAAATACCCCGTGCACAAGATCACCTTAAACCTCAGAATTTTCTCAACTCTCAACATGAGTCACAACTGCTGCTCTGGAAACTTCTCCTCCCCTCCCTTGGGGCCTACCTGAGCTACCCAGGTTCCTCCTGTGGCTCTTCCTACTTCAAGGATCTGGTTTACAGCACTGACCTCTGCTCTCCCAGAATATAGGCAGTGCTCTTCTCTCTGCAGTAGCTGTCAGGACACCTGCTGTGAGCCCAACAGCTGCCAGACATCCTGCATGGAGTCCAGCCCCTGCCACACATCCTGCTCCGCTCTGCAGTTCCTGCCAGTCAACTTATCCCATATCTATGGACTTCAGGTCGAGCAATGACTTCTTTCTGGGTTATGGATTTAGGAGCAGCCATTCACTGGATTATGGATCCAGTGGTTTCAGACCCTTAGGTTATGGAGTCCATGATTTCTCCTTCCTGAGCTATAGACCCAGTTTCTGCCACTACATTTTGCTTCTAGTAGCCTCCAGCCATCTCGTTTTCAACCTATCTATCTATTTGACTTCTACTAATCAACTTGTTGAGATCTAGTACATTTATGCAAAATCATCAAAATGTAGTTCCATCATGCTCATTATTTCCAGTGGCAACTATCTTAGTCTTTGATCGCCAGTTCCATACCCAGTCTTTTTCCATCGATCATAGTCTAACAGATTGATTCCTGCACCCTTTTAATTTAATGACTTATTTCCAAAATGAGCATAATATCAGCATTACAGATTGAATTCATGAAAATTTGTTTCCAAATGGATAAAAAGTAAAATAAGTATAACCCAATAAACTGAAATATGCATTCTGGCACTGAAATATTTGTATGTTATTATTTATACATTATTGACCAGAGTTTGTGTTAAGTTTGATGTGGCTGTTTTTTTTTTTTTTCAAAGTTTATTTATTTTTGGGACAGAGAGAGACAGAGCATGAATGGGGGAAGAGCAGAGAGAGAGGGAGACACAGAATCGGAAACAGGCTCCAGGCTCTGAGCCATCAGCCCAGAGCCTGATGCGGGGCTCGAACTCACGGACCGCGAGATCGTGACCTGGCTGAAGTCGGACGCCTAACCGACTGCGCCACCCAGGCGCCCCTGATGTGGCTGTTTTAATAAGAGCTCAATTTGCATCTCAGAATAAATTTTGGAAGTCTGGATTTGATCTAATTTCTTCCTACTATGGATATTTTTCTCACTCAAACTATAGTTACTGGACATCCATATTTTATAGTTTTGTTTTGTTTGTTTTGAGAGAGAGAGAGAGAGAGAGAGAGAGAGAGAGAGCAAGAGAGTGTACTCAAGCAGGGGAAGGGTACAGAGAGGGAAAGAGAGAATCCTAAGCAGACTCTGCACTATAATGACCCAAGGCAAAACCAGGAATCAGATGCTTACTAACTGAGCCACCCAGGTGTCCCAATATATTTTACAGTTTTAGGTCTTATGAATGAAGTTCTGAGACTTAGGGTATATTTTGTGTCTTTCAAAAAAAACGGATTTTATCTATGTGTACAGAGAGAATGTGACTATGTAGTTGACAGATTCATCAGGAACTTCATGAACAATAATAACATTTAGGTTTAAGTGGTTAGTATGAAAAATGAAAGAAAAACTAAAAGCCAGTTTAAAAAGATGTAAGAGTCTTAAATTCTAATGAGCTTACCCAAATCTTATTTTAAAATGGCCAGATTCGGGGCGCCTGGGTGGTGCAGTCGGTTAAGCGTCCGACTTCAGCCAGGTCACAATCTCGCGGTCCGGGAGTTCGAGCCCCGCGTCAGGCTCTGGGCTGATGGCTCGGAGCCTGGAGCCTGTTTCCGATTCTGTGTCTCCCTCTCTCTCTGCCCCTCCCCCGTTCATGCTCTGTCTCTCTCTGTTCCAAAAATAAATAAACGTTGAAAAAAAAAATTAAAAAAAAATGGCCAGATTCATGCATCTGATGATGAGTGTCCAATGTCATCCACTTTTCTATATGTATGGAAAGATATTCTTGGTGGGGAAAATGTGTCTGATGCCCTATTAGTGTTTTAGTCAAGCCCAAACTAAATATAGGTGAAAAAAAAAGCTTTTTATGGCAACAGACTTTACTATTTCATTTGGATGTCACTATAAAGTTGGGGACACTATATGTTTACTCTTTGGGTAACATTCTCAGCTTTCGCAGGCTAAATAGCTAAAGAAGCCCCTGTGAGACTAAAATAGCAGCAGGTTAGGAAGGAATAAAAACAAGTTACAAAAAGACATTATCCTTATCTAGTGCCATAATCAGGGTTCAAAGAATATCCTACTCATTATTTTTAGACCCTCAAATAGATCTACGAAAAGACTATTTTTAAAATTCAGGTGTTTTAAGTAGGAGGAATTGAATACAATTGAGGTGTTTTAAGTAGCAGGATCAGAGACTTCGCTAGTCATGACAACCAAAATTGTCTCTCCAGGTATTGCCCAGTATTCCTTGGAGGATAGAAGGCACAACTGCTCTTGTTTGAGGAACCATTTATCTAAACTAACGCATGGAGAGAAACAGAGATGAAAAGAATATGCAAATATGGACCATAGTGAAAAGATTGAACATACTTGTCTTTGGAGTCCTAAAACAGGTACAAAAGAGAATTGGGGAGATAATATGTTGGGGAGAAACCGCTAAAAATTTTCCAAAACAAAGTCAATAAACAGTGCCAACTAAAAGTTAAATAAAAATCGAGAAAATACATCTACACGCTAGTAAAACTCATGAACACTAGTGACAGGAATGTTTCTAGGAAACCTGAGAAAGAAAGCTAATTTCCTTCTAAAAAGGAAAAAAAAGTGATGATGGGACTAAAATATGAATTATTTACAAAGATAATTGAATGAAATATTCAAAATTCTGAAAGAACACAGATGTCATCCTAGAATGCTATGCTCAATCAATGTGTGCTTCAAAACTGAAGATAATTTCAGACAACGAAAAATTCAAGAGAATATCTAAGCAGCAGACTGGCAAACAAAAAATATGTACTAGATGTTGTCTGTTATTGAGGAGGAAAAAGTCTGAAATCCAGATATGAGCTACATTCTTCTCCTTTTTTAAAAACCATTGTGTTTTTTTGGTTACGGTATGGCTTCCCAGTGGACATATTTACTGGGATACAAATGACCCCTAGCCAACATTGGGCAAATATAATAAAAATACCTTCTAGATAACCCATAGACAACACATCATCTGATGGCATAAATCTTAATATCCCAAGTCATGGTTTTTAAGCTCCTGGCTACTTGTTAAGATGATTAATTAGAGTGGAATCTTCCAGATGGTTAGTAACAGCATGAAAAGCAACTCCCATAAAATAATTAGATGGGTGGCAAAAGTAGGATCTAAAGTATATGATGGGAATCTGTTGGTTCCACAAACCACAGATAGGAAAAAAATTAGGTAGAAAACAGAGATGGGAATCAAATACCTATTTGGAAGCCATTAGTTCCCCAACTCAGAGCCAGCATTTTAATATAAAATATCCCAATAATTTTAAATGTGAATAAATAATTCTACTTTAGGAAAAAAAAAAACTAGCGTGGAGGTGTACATTGTGCCAATATGATACCTGAACTGCATTTGGTACATGGGATTAGCCCTTTGAAGAAGAGATCCCAGATGGCACTCTGCCATTGAGGTTGGGTGAAAAGATGAGCATCTAGGAAGTGGATCTCATCAGACACCTAATGTGATGATGCCTTGATCTTGGATGTCCCTGCTTCCAGAACTGTAAGAAATAAATGTTTGTTGTGTATAAGTGACTCAGTCTGTGATATTGTTATAGTAGCTGGGATGGACTAAGACAGGTTATCTATCTATCTATCTATCTATCTATACATTTTTTTCAAATTGGCAACATTTGGAGATGTTCTAGCTATGTTCTAGCATTTTTCACTACTTTATAAACATCTGAATCTTGATTTTGGTTCAGGTCATGATCTCACGGTTCATGAGATTGAGCATTTACTTTTTCCCCTCACCTCAACTGATAAATACTCTGATTCTCCTCTCATGGGCTCAAATTGGTCTCCATCTGTAACTCTGTTCTGATGTACTGTTCTTTTATCTTGCTTCCAAATACTTGTCCTGGATCCTTTCTGTTCCAAGACTTTCTCCATTCAACTTGTAACATTGTTAGGCCTTCATCCAGTATGAGATACTCTGCATTAATATTTAATACTTGGAAAATAATTTTTGGATAAAAATGAATGAATTAAAACGAGTAGTTTTTCGATTTTTAGAAGGTTTTTTGGCAAGGTCAAAGCTATGCCTATAACCAAATGAAAGAAAGGAGGAAAGAAAGAAAGAAAGAAAGAAAGAAAGAAAGAAAGAAAGAAGGAAAGAAAGAAAGAAAAGAGAGAAAGGTGATGTCATTTTAATCTCCACCCTTAGAAGGAACTCATACCCCAGCCAAACCAGAATCAGATACAGGTACAGCATATACCAGGAAGAAAAGGAGGGGCATTCTCGGCCAAGATGACATGGCCATTAATGCAAAACGGTCATAACATTTCTGACATAAGAATAGTTCATTGGCTTTGTGTTATAACAAAATTTATTATAGTCCTCATAAATGCAGTAGGTGCGAAACTACGCAGCTGCAATTACAGAGAAGATGATTGAGTTAATACTATGCAAATGAAGGAGTACAAACATAGGGATGATGCCCTTGTCACTTTCGACACCTGCAGCTGAGAGTATGTAAATGCCACCGTCCCGGAGGTAGAATAGACCTCAGAATATTCTCAGTGTGAATTCAGGATTCTCTGTGTTTTCTCAGCTGAACTCACATCTCCTATGAACATGGGCTTCAGCTGCTGCTCCGGAAACTTCTCCTCCCGCTCCCTTGGGGGCTACCTGCGGTACCCAAGTTCTTTCTACCCCAGCAACCTGGTCTACCGCACTGACCTCTGCTCTCCCAGCCCCTGCCAGCTGGGATCCTCTCTCTACAGCAGCTGTCAGGAGACCTGCTGTGAGCCCACCAGCTGCCGGACGTCCTGCGTGGTGTCCAGCCCCTGCCAGATGTCCTGCTCCCGCCCAAGGACCTCCACACTCTGCAGTCCCTGCTGGATGACTTATGCTGGGCCCAGAGGCTTCAGACCCCAGGGTTATGGAGTCCGTGGCTTCCCCACCTTGAGCTATGGATCCACATTCTGCCACCCAACCTATTTTGGTTTTCGGCATCTCCAGCCATTTTGCTACAAACCAATCTATGGATCTGGCTTCTACAGATTAACTTGTTGAATGTCTGGATCTTTTTGCAGAATGTTAACTTTTTTTTTTTTTTCACAAGAAACAACTCTCTATGATTTCCAGAGACTAATTCCTCACCCTTTCTGTGGCCACGAGCTTAGCTTTCAGATTGGTTCTTGCCATATGTAAAACTAAGCAATAAACATAAGATTTCAATCATATAGCTCTATTGGTGATGGAAATCATACAATTATTGCATACACAATCCCTGCTTGGGATTCTCTCTCTCCCTCTCTCTCTGTCCTGTCCTGCTTATTCTCATTCTCTCTCTCTCCCTTAAAATAAATAAATAAACTTTAAAAAAAGCTTTAAAGTGTTTGTCTTTAGATATTTTCTTTTTTATATAAACTGTATAAATGAGTATCTAAAGATCTATAAAAATCTAATCTCTTAAATCATATGAGACCCTGTATCTCTCTTCATAGGAGAAGAAAAGCACAAAAGTTGGTAGATATATGCAAAATGCAGAGGGAAAGAATAAAATTTAGATACAATGGTAGGTTTGCACATGAAAAAAATTAAATGTAAATCTAACTTGTGACTGTATATTTTCAGGAACTACTAAATATAAATGTTGAATAACTTCCATGAGACTCATCCAATATTACTTGGGGAAAGTAACCAAAGTAACTCACTGAATCCCAGTGAGTACATTTTGATTGAATTAATTTCTTTATGGTATATAAGAAGGAAACCAATCATGCCTGGTGTAAAGATTTTTGGATCAGCTTGTGTGGGTATTTACCCTAATGTTCTCCAATGACTTCAACTACATAGCTGAGAACCATAGCCTTAATGTCAAGAAAAAATGGAGATCCTTTATTTCTATTTTGTTATAGACGTGTGCTAATCTTTTTTAGGCCATGTATTCCAGAAAACAATATATCGATATGTGAGACACAGTCTGATAAAAAGATAAATCTAATAATCAAAAAGAACTATCTTTGAGTTACGCTAAATAAATGTTCAAGTAGATTTTCAAGTCATTGTTTCTTTAGAATCTTGAACAGCACTCAGAGGGAGATATATTTTATGTGCTAAATTTCTTTTAAACATGAGGCAATGGAAGCTCAAAGTAAGTCAAGGTCTGGCCAAAGATCCCAGGTTTATGGAGAAATCAATGTTCACAATTTCCTGAAAGTTGGAGCATACTATGAAAAGCAAAAACAGAATTAGTATGGGTTGGAATAGAGGAAGTTTGGGAAAATAAAATGAAATGAACAAAGCAGAGATCTATAAAGTTAGCTGGTATGTTTATGAATAATTAACAATGCGTGCACATTACTCTGTCATTTTTCAGTCTGAGTTCTGAGTGACAATAATCCTAGGTTTCATAGTCACCTATTAAATTTACTTGAACAGATTTCTAGTGATAAGCTTCCATGTTTATTGTCTATTCTAAATAATTTTGCATAGATCACAGAATGAATATTCTTACCAATCACCCTCATATATAGAAACTTAATGTGATATTTATACCAAATATAACTTTTGATAGCATTAGAATAGATAGTTTAATCACTCTTATGAATAAAAACTTTAGTAGGACTTAAGAAAATAATCTATACATAAACTCTGGAGTACTATCAGCTAAGAATTGCTAGATTGCATTAGGACAAGTTTTAAGTCAAAATAAATGGTATTTGGGCTACTTTCTTCCTGAGTTGTCCACTGAATCCAAAAATGTTAATGGGCTATTGGTGTGAATGAATAGAATCAGATTTCAGGGCTTCATTTTTAAGGAGCTGGGAATACAGGTAAACATTCTGGGCTTTGAAAGATTCTACCAGAATTTTATGAGTATGCAAACATAGAGTGTGTTTCATAGGAACTGAAGGCAACCTTTAACTTGCATCAGTGTTTATGATATTGAGAGTGTTAGTAATCTTACCTCAGCTTCGCATAACCAGAATAAATCCTTGCAAAAATAGACCCATTCAGAGGCTTAAATTACCTGTGGTAATTGATTAAAATTTACTAAGGCTACACACAGGCAAAACAAGACCAAACCAAGAGACAACACAGAGCATAAGCAAACTTACAGAGTATCTAGATAATGTACATATTAGAAATGTACAGAAAAATAACTGCGGTTATTATTTTTAAGCAATTAAAGACAAGAGTTAAGAGTTTTGGCAAAATACTAGAATATATAAAAATGAGCATAAAAATACTAAAACTGGGGGTGCCTGGGTGGCTCAGTCGGTTGAGTGTCTGACTTTGGCTCAGGTCATGATCTCACAGTTCATGGGTTCGAGCCCCACATCGGGCTCTGTGCTGACAGCTCAGAGCCTGGAGCCTGCTTCACCTTCTGTGTCTCCCTCTCTCTCTGCCCCTCCCCCGCTCACGGACTGTCGCTCAAAAATAAATAAATGTAATTTAAAAAACATACTAAAACTGTAAGATACAATAACTAAAATGAACCGACTCAAATGAATTCAAAGGCACACTAGAACAGTCTGAAACTCTGGGCCAGCCTCGTCCTCAGCTGAAATAGAGAATAAAATAATGAACTCAGATCAGAGTGTCAACATATCTGGGTGGAGTGTGGGCAAAGTGGAGATGCATTCAAACTGGTTTAAACTGGGGACAGTCCTGCTTAACTCAATTCTTTAATGAAGCTTACTCTTAAGTCCTTTGCCTTTCTAACATGCAGAGGGAAGGACTTACGTTCTCTGGAAAACAATAAAGGAATATAGTTGCATATGTTTATTTTGTGTGTGCATATGTATTGATCATATAATCATATGTGTTTATAACTACAATTGTGACTCTATAAATATAAGTACCTCTATTTCAAAATCCACTGGTCTTTTGTTTATAATGTCTATAATGTAATAATCATTATAAAAAATTTCAAGGAGCATGTAAATGTTACCCAATCAAAACTATCCATGGAAGCAAGTTCACATTTACTACAAATATTAGAATTAGTTGGCACAGACTTGAAAGAGACTATGATGAACATGTAAATAATTAAGAAAAAGATGGATGCAATTAATAAACACATGGGAATTATAAGAGATGGAAATAATTAAAAAAAACTAATGGATATTTCTAAACAGAAAGTTAAAGGCTTAAAATTAAGTAAAGACATAAAATTAAAATAGGATTATGAGAATATTTGACAAAACAGAAGTAAGGATAAGTGAACTTGAAAATAGGTTTTTAAAAAATATATATTATCCAAACTAAGCTACACAGAGAAATAAAGATTGAAAAAGGAGGCAGAGTAAAGATTTGGCAACTTGTTGAAAAACATAGGGCAATCTAAAAACTGTGTAAGAGAAGTCCCATAAAAAAAACTGAGCAGAAAAAAAAAAAAAAACTACAGTAAAAACTTTTGTACATTTGCCTAACAACAAACAAAATAACAGCAAACAAATCAATAAAACATCCAATTTACAAATCCAAGAATCTTAGGATACTTGAATCAAGAGAGATCCACACTAGGCGCATTATAGTGAATTGATTAAAAGCAAAGATAAAAAGAAAATCATAAATTAGGGGAAAAGGAAACATTAAATATGGGGAATAGTGATAAGAAATACAGCTGATGTTCTTAACACCAGAAGAACATGGAATGATTTTTTTTTTCTTTAAGTTTATTCATTTAGAGAGAAAGAGAGAGAGAGCATGAATAGGGGAGGGGCAGAGAGAGGGGGAGAGAAAATTCCAAGCAGGCTCTATGTTGACACAGCACAGAACTTGATGCAGGGCTTGAACCCAGGAAGCGTGAGATCATGACCTGAGCTGAAATCAAGAGTCCGACATCCAACCCATTGAACCACCCATGTGTCCCTGGAATGATATTTTTAAAAGTCTGAAAAGAAAAAGAAAATTCAGCTTCCTAGAATTTTATATCAGTTCAAAATATCCTTCAAAAATGAAAGAAAAAGAAAAATACTTTCAGAAAATTTGTATCCTCCAACTATAAAATCATTAATTTGGGGGCACCTGATTGGCTCAGTTGGTTGAGCATCGGACTTCAGCTCAGGTCATGATCTCACGGTCCATGAGTTCAAGCCCTGCTTCGGGCTCTGTGCTGACAGCTCAGAGCCTGGAACCTGTTTCAGAATCTGTGTCTCCCTCTCTCTCTGCCCCTCCCCTGCTTGTGCTCTGTCTCTGTCTCTCTCAAAAATAAATAAACATTAGGGAAAAAAAATCATTAAAAGTAATTTCTAGAAGTGTGTGCAATTGAAAAAATAAGTATATTTTTTCAATTATATTGAAAAATATAATCGATGCATGACACTGCTCAGATCAGAAACAATTAGCTCCATATCTGAAGAATGCAGACTCAGGGAAAAGAGAAAAAAAAAAAAAAAAAAGGATGCAGACTCACAAACAAACACAAAATTCAAGTCAATATTTCCATAGTAAACAGCACACATAGTTTGAAACTGTCCAGTTGTATAGTGTTGACAAATAATTTAGGGTTTTTTTTTTTTCTTAAAAAAAAAAAAAAAAGAAAACTCTCTCTGGAGGTCAGTAGTGTTCAGTCTTGATCAATAAACAAGCAGACCAGGATCTGAGTACATGGGAAGTCTCCTTCAACTGGATTCCATTCAATCACTGTTATATGAAGTAGAATTAGAGATAAGAATTAACTGGAAGGGAATGAGGTTACAAGCCTCTTTGGTGCAGAAGATCTGAATTAAGACTTGGTACTCTTTGAAAACATATTTATTTAACTTTCCATTTTGTCTAAGAGTAGTTCTGAAGCCTATTCATCTTGTGGTTAGTAACTCCTAAGTTTGTCATGAGGGCTATTTTGAAAAAGCATTTGGAAGTCACTAAGAATGAGAAAGACGAA